TTCGAAAATTACTTGAATCAAAAAAAAAAAAAAAACATCCCTGAAAAAAAGTAAATACTCTTTGAAGATGTTGAAGAACAAACACCCTGGAACACAAGTGCAGTACAGATCTTACCACACCATTGGCATATTGGAATACAACAGCACACATGCAGTAAAGACATAGTTAACTTGTTTTTACTCCAGTTTACTAAAACTTATTCTGCTGTTCAACTTTATTTTACTCTATTTGAACTGTTTATACTTCATTATATTTCAATTTTGCAATTATTCTTAATACTTTATTAATTTAGCATTTACTATTCAATTTATGTCGTTACACTTTTATATACTGCTGTTGTACTGCAGTTTTACTTCAGTTTACTGCAGATATTTTTTGTAGGGGATGGCACATTGAACTGCTGTCAGCTTGAGTTTCCTGTTTTCTTGTTTTTTTCTTTTGAATACATCTTTCCTCATATACTGAGAATTATTGCAAATTGATGATAAATATCTGCTGTTAACAAGCAGAATCACTGTGTTGGCCCAATGAGGGCTTCCTGGGATCTAGTTGAGGTATGCCTTGCATGTGGGGCTAGCAAGGGATCAATGTTTTGCCAGTGAAGAAACTCTCATGGCTTTGCTTTGACAGTCCACTGGGGGCCCTTCAGCTAAGTGGGTCATTAAGAACCAGCACATGCTTATTTGCAGGGCTGTAATTGGTGGATGAGGTTTTCCACAAACCCCTTTTTGAACAGGGTAAGAACATGGCTTGTTTAATCCATATGTCAACAGAGCCATCAGCTTTAGATATGCATTCCAACATGCCTGTCAGGTATGCATTGATTTATAAGCAACTCACAACTAGATGCTAATCAAAACAGACGATTAGCTTAAATGAAATTAGATAATGGTTTACAAACCAACTTACAAAAGAAAAACAATTGAACGTTTTCTGTGCCTGTGTCAGTTGGGCCACTTACGGAAAGTGTAACATTAATGTTTATTTTTAGTGTTATTACAGTGTTGTCTAAAAATTAGCTTCTACTTTTAGATTTTACTTTGTGTGCTATTGTAATATGTAATGCATGTGTTAGCCTCCAACATTTCAATATTTAATTTAATTAGTTTATCTTTCTAGCATGAAAATTTCGTTTATTTTAATAACGTATAACGTAGTAGCGGTTACGCTGTACTGAAACCCCTGGAAAAAAGTGCCTGCCGTTTCAGTACAGCGTAACCGCTACTGCGTCATCTGGTGGGCGTGGCCTATCTGTGAATTTGCATAGGTCGCGGATCATGCGCAGATTGTGAAAACAGCCGTTAGATTCAGATACCTGTACGTATTCGCTGGGGTTTCGTGTCAAATGCCTTTTATATGCAGTACTAAATAGCTGTCCTGATCGCAGGTGTTTCATGTGAAGTCAGTGTGTTATATTAAACAAATTAACTTAAGATACCTCTCAGATTACATTAATACTGTTATAACTTAAGATACCTGTCCCGATCCTACGGCTTTTGTGTCAAATACTTTATATATCATATACAGTAGCATCAGATACCTGTCCTGATGCCAGGGGTTTCATGTATGATCACTTTTATATATATTAACATCAAATACCTGTCCTGATCTCAGGGGTTTCATGTATGATCACTTTTATATACAGTAACATCAGATACCTGTCCTGATCCCAGGTGTTTCATGTATGATCACTTTTATATATATTAACATCAGATACCTGTCCTGATCCCAGGTGTTTCATGTATGATCACTTTTATATTATATATATTAACATCAGATACCTGTCCTGATCCCAGGTGTTTCATGTATGATCACTTTTATATTATATATATTAACATCAGATACCTGTTCTGATCCCAGGTGTTTCATGTATGATTATTTTTATATACAGTAACATCAGAAACCTGTCCTGATCCCAGGTGTTTCATGTATGATTACTTTTATATACAGTAACATCAGATACCTGTCCTGATCCCAGGGGTTACATGTATGATCACTTTTAAATTAGTTGACATCAGATACCTGTCCTGATCCCAGGTGTTTTGTGTATGATGACTTTAAATAAAAATAGAAAATAAATATGAGTTATGTTAATTAACTAAGATCGAGAAAGAAAAATTAACCACGATTTATTACAGAAAATGTGGTATTTATTTGTTTAAACATGACTGAATACCATATTTTAAACTACAAAAACACGGTTAATCTTACCACAACCATTATTATTTGGTTTAAAATGGAAGTACAAAAGCCCAGAGACAGTAAAACGGATTAAAACGAGGTCAGCTGTTCTTGCTAATGAAATCTTTAAAATATAACATTATAACAACAAAAAAATAACCTGTATGATTGTTTTTTTCCTTCGTTATCCACCGCGGTAGGTTCTTTATCCATAATCATCCTGTTTGAAATGACCGCGCTAAAAAAGAACCTGTACAGCGCATGATCGGTGACCTCTCAGTATTGTTTTTTTTAAGGGGGCGTTTCCCAAACACCGACCTAGCCACGCCCATTTTGCGTCGTGGTAATGAAACCCCTGGAATTTAGTGCATGCCGTACAGATACACATGTCAACCAGAAGAGGTCCCTATCTTACTCTAAAAAATTGGGGTCACATTATTTCATTAGACATTTCGTTCAGTTGCTCTTCAGTCATCATATCCATCATATTCTGATGTATTTGTTTGACCAAATAGATAGAAAAGTTTTGTAATAAATTAGTTCCCATATTTTTTACATAAGAAAAGATGAGCACACATTTATTAAACAGGAGTAATAAATCCGACGTTTGAAATTTCAATGCTATCATTTTCACTTAGGATCTGTTTTTATTTTAATGAATACTACTAGATTTCAAAGCATTATCTATGAACATCTGCTGAATCCTTTACGAGGACATGTCTCTGAGGAATTTCCACAGGAAATGGGAAATCGTTGGACAGCTGGGACAAATATGCCCTCAAGGAAGAAAATGAAACAAATGGGTTCTGAATAAATGTGCCATGTTAAGGTGCAGCTTATGTTGAAGAAAACACATCTGTAATAATTGTTTGCATGAAAGGCACAGAAGAGAACAGTGAAGGTGCAACAAAATTAAAGATGGTGTTGTATTGATGGATGTTTCACCCTGTGAGGTTGTAAGCATTTCAGATCAGTGAGATCAGGCTGTTTGTGTCCTATCTTTGTATCTTTACTGAATAATTTTTGTAAGTGCTTTATTTGCTTTATGAAATATGAAGGGATAAATCTCACAAACATTTAGTCCAATTAAACGCTATAAAAGCTCATTCGTCTACATCCACTTTTGTATCCGGTATCCTTTTTTTCCTGTAAGCTGTTACGAGGGGATGTCACAATAAAGCAAGTAAGCTGCTACTTCAGTTTAAAACTTACCTCTAATATTATAACAAAATCATCTGTGCCTTGTAAATAAGTTTGATAGTGTTGCATAACTGGGATGAGTAGGCTTGTGGCTACATCTGCCAGAGAAGGGATAAATGATATTTAGCAGATTAAGACCATATTATGACAAATGCCAATATATTAGTATTATAAGAACATTTAGGCCCTGGAAATATCTCTGACTGGAAGTTGATACAAAAACATCTCTGTTATTTAGAGCCTTATCATGTTAAAACATTAATAAAGTACGACTTTACTCATTATATAATGTTACATAACACAAGAACAAGAAGAACTTTTTCTTATTGTTACAATACTGAGCTTGTGAAAGATATACACTGGTCAAAAGTTTTGGGTCAGTTTTATTTTTTAATGTTTTGTTTTTTTAAGAAAATTATTCCTTTCATCAGGGTGGAATTTATTAAATGTATTTTGTTTAAAAAAATTTAAGTGCTTTTTTACTGTATGTAGTTTTAAATAAAATTATTACTGTCATTAATAATAATAATAATAATAATAATAATAATAATAATAATAATAATAATAGAGTGATTTCTGAAGGATCATGTGACTGAAGACTGGAGTAATCCATAGATATATACACTATGGGAGTAATTAAGCTGAAAATTAATCTTTAAAATCACTGGAATAAATTATTAAATTAAATGAAAAACTACTTTTGAACAGTTATTTTATAGTGCAATGACATTTCACAATTTTACAATTTGTACTGTATTTTTGATTAAATAAATGCAGCTTTGTTGAGCAGGAGAAGCTTATTTTAAAACATTTAAAATCCTTCTGACCCCACACTTTTGACCGGTAGTGTGTGTATACACACTATTAGCAAATGAGTGATCTGCATCTTATTTTAATTGTTTAAATCTGTTCTTTATTAGGTGGCAGCAGTCCTCCACTAAACCATGGCATAATTTCCCACTTATCTCCATGAACCATATAGTGATTATGAAAAGTAAATCTTTAAACTTCACAAATTGTAATAGCAGAGTTTACAGATCAGGCCACCTTAATTTGACTAACAAAATAAATACATTTTTTAAATAATTAGTAAATTAGCTGCATCGAGGTGTAGAAAGGACATTTCTTATTTTTACCACTAGATGTCAATAAGCACCAACAACTAAAGACAGTATCATAGGCTAGAGCTTTTACTTTACAGATAAAATACATATAAATAAAAAATCAAATACATTTTACACATGTAAACAATTTACATATTAAAGCGTGTTTTTATGTTTTAACAACTGGTTATGATTTTGCTTTTTAGTTTCAGCCCTGCTTAGGATGAAGGTCTGCCAATAATACCAAGTTTCATTAATTAATTAATTAATTAATTAATTAATTCATTCATTCATTACTTTGAGTTAATGTCCGAATAACATTTCCCTTTGTAAATACCATTGTGTGCAATCTATGTCAGGCTACAATTAAAGAGTTTATTACATTTTTATATAAAAAAATATTCTCAGAATGAAAGCAGTTTATTATTGTTGCGAAATCGGTGTATCGATCACATGTGTACGACTTTAAGAACTGCAAGATAAGGTTTCTGTTTATAGCACCAGACTCCTATGATTAAAAATAGTGGAGGGGGTGTGCGAGCCCTGAAACTCCCCCAACAGACGCTCGAGTCCATCTGTGCACCAACAGTGAACTAAAGCGAGAGAAGAAAACTTTTAACCCAGCAGTTACACTAACACTGCATAAATACCAAACTCTGTGCAAACAAACTTTAACTGTTAGACCATTTACAGCCATTTTGGCAACTTCTCGGTGGCGACACGTGTGTCATGAAAACGCGTTTGGCTCTCAGTAACGGTGACTCTTGTCTTTCACAGAACAGCAGTAGGAAGAGTGTAGAAAAGACGGATGTAACACAATGAACCGCGTCGCGAACGACACGACGTAGCCTCGCCGTTTTTTGGCTAGAGTTGAAAACGCGCTTTCTTTTTCTTATGCCTTTGCTGAAGGAATAACTCTCCCAAGTGTCGGTTCTCACGGGCGAACAGCGTGTGTTTCTCAGAAGGATTTTAAAGGTTACCAATGGGGTCTCAAGGGCCAGGACGGAAAAGAACCCCCAGCAAAAATGGGTTGACTGCAGAGGAAGATGCCCTCAACGTAATCGCAAAAGAGGTAAAGTGGTGTAACTTTACTTGGGGCTTAAAGCAATGTTAAAAGTTCAATTGCAGTGGTCTTCGGTGAAACATGACAATCACATGGTTTCAGTTTATTTAATAAACCTAAAACAGTAGGCTAAAGAGTCACGAGCGTTTCACGAGTGTCTAATTAACACAACAACTGTCCAACTAAGGTAAAGTCGTTGTTTTTACCCTCATGTTGCTTTGTTTTTTTTCATATACAGTAGTACTCTTATTTTAGAGCTCATTTCCTTTCATATTGAAGCCATGTCTGCTTCCTCCCTGTGTGTTTTAGTTGTCTACTCATAGGTGTCTGAGTTGTGTAGATCAAAGTCTTTTATGCATCATGGCAGTAATGTATTTGGCAGTGCTACTGTGTGTAACATTATCCGGGTTTTGATGTGTCAGAACAGGTGTTGGGTTCATGGTGGAGAACCTCGATTTGACTGCTTAGGAAATTATTTTTTTACACGTTCAAGTATTGTATATGACTTTCTTACTTTGCACACCTGAAGTGGAAAAGAGTGAGTGTATTTAAAGTGCACGTGTTTCCACTGACAGTTCAACTTTATTTGTAGCAAATGTTTAATTCTATTAATAGTAAGCGTGTCTCTGCTTGACACATCATGCTCAGTGGTTTGGCATGAGAGAGGCCTTCTCACTCTACTGTCAGCATTAACTGTCTTTGTGTATGCTAAACATGTTTTTTTTAAATAAACAAACAAACATTGCAGTTTTATTTCTTTTCTCATATATTGATTTGATTTAGGGTCAGAGTAACAGTACGAAACGCTCCATCTCAGAAATAAAGGTACACTTTAAATGAACTAATATGGAGTCAAATTTGCTTTTAAGATGCCAATAGGAATCTTTTAGCAACAGACATGTCCTAGAAAACATTTGTACATATATTTATGAGAACATTTATACAAAATCCATAAGCTAAAATATATAATAAACACCAAACAAGAGCAGAAGTTGTGTAGAACTTTGTGACGTACCCCTTCTAAGTGGTTTTAAAATTAATCATAAAAGTCCACTGCTCATTTCCAACAAGAGAACAGGTTACCTGAAAAGTTATTTTTTACAAGTTTGAACATTTTCAATTTTGGATTTTTTCAATATCAGACATGGAAAGAAGAGTACACAGCTGAACCTCTTACCTGGTCTCTAAAACTAAATTTGACTAGTTTATTTAATATAATCAGGTTATACCAATGTGTAAGCCGAAATGTACTCTTATCTTTTGCGAATTCAAGTTCATTATTTCAAATGCAGAAAACATGGAAAGCAGCCACATAGGGAGGCATTGCACACACTGGTTAAGAGTGTGGGTATTTGCAGGGGTTTGACAGATAAATATGAATTTGTTTGCAGCTAAATTGTTTACTAAACAAAACAGCATTTCCTATTGTTTACATCCTTGTGTCTTTGCTACAACATACAGTTAACGGCAGAAACTATGCGTGTGAAGTACACATTTTAACAAATAAAAATACTTGTATATTGTGGCTCATAATCCAAAGTTTTTTCATGTGTCATTGAAACTGCTCCTTTGAGAAGAAATATTTGGCCAAATCCAGCACTAAACTGGGAGAGATTCTGGAAGCTGTCCTTATATGTATCTTTTTTAATAGAATTTGGAATATAATTAAAAGTAAATTGTAAACACTTCTTTATTTTTGTCTTATTCCTTGTAAGCCCAAATACAGAAACAGAACAAGCCTCTTCCCTGCACATTTGCTGGGGTGTAAACCAAAGGGTTTATGACATCATTAACCTGGATGTATTTTTTTTGTAGTCCCCAAACTTTGTTGGCTGTAGGCTTTGCTAAGCTAACTCTGTAAAACCATTGTCTTCCTTTTGCATTGAACTTTGAGCATCTTGTATTTAAAGATGTTGTTTATGTTCACACAGCTACGTTACAAAAAAAAAACAAAGTTTAAAATGTGATGTTGTAGTGGACCACCCCTTTAGCCATCCAAAGCGAAATCAAAGAAAAAGTAATGTGACCTCGTCTGTTTTGAGTTTGTTGTTAAGCTTTTGAAAAGTTTATTTTAAACACTTTTGAAATACCTCTACTCTGTACTCATTGTAAAAAATCTGTTTATGACTTCCAGAATATGTTGTAGATCAAATTCTCTGCCATGATCTTGTCAGTCATTTTTTCCCCCCTTACTATTGTTTTATATTGTTCTTCTGTACTCTGCGGCTCATGCTGTATGGAGTACTACTGAAGTTTGCAGTTTAGGGTCATGTAAAGCCCTATTTGCACAGGATTAGTATTACCTTATGACCTCTAGTCATGTAATTACTGCGAGTTGTCTGATCTTAAATGGGTCTTGAACATAGAATTTAACATTTAATTCAGCTTTTGATTTGTAGGAGGTCATCTTATTAAAATAATATCCTGTAAGTTTCAGAGTTGTTGTTAACAAATTTACAAAAAACTGCTTTTATTGACAGCAGGCCCAGGGCATGGTCAGACTGACTCAGAGAGGAACAATAAACAAACTGTTGAATATTACAAAATGTTTACAAATTTTTGTTGTGCACAAAATGGTTGTAAACTTTTATATTTATATATATATATATATATATATATATATATATATATATATATATATATATATATATATACACACACACACACACACACACACACACACACACACACACACACACACACACACACACACACACACACACACACACATATATATATATATATATATATATATATATATATATATATATACATACATACATACATACATACATACATACATACATACATACATACATACATACATACATACATACATACATACATATATATATATATATATATATATATATATATATATATATATATATATATATATATATATATATATATATATTTAGTTATTTATTTTATTTTATTTTATTTTTTTTCACATTCATTATTAACAGCTTTAGATTTTAAAATTGATAGATTTTGTATTTATTCTGAAGAGGACAGATAAACAAGACTGCTTTTCCCATTTATCAGTACATTGAATGCAGAATCGACGACTCTCTTTGATTCTTTTAAAATACCATCTTTGTAAGGGTTTAATAATTTTGTGTGTAAATATTAACAGCCTAAACTCATCCTAGTGTTACCTGCCGGTTCTATTGATTCTGTAATAAGAGCAGTACAATCATTTAATGAAATGAAAACAGCGAAAAGGTGTACACAAAACTTTCACACTTAACACAACACATTAACAAAATTAAAGAAATAACCACATCAAAAAGTATTGTTCACTGATTTTTGTGATGAGCCCCACATTTCACTGAATATGAGGAGAAAATTATTTTCATTATTTTAGATGTTTTGATTTTTTTTGTACTTTTTTACACACAGATATTAGGGAAAAAGGTACAGTGTTGTATGATCTCTTATCTCTTTGATAAAAATTTTTTTTAAGAGAAGTTGTTTAAAGAGAAGATCTGTAAGCTTGTTTGGGACTCATTCACACAAATTATTTTATTTATTTCATTGTAAACTTGACATCCAGGCAAAAGAGTCTTTTTTTAAGATTCAAACAATATAAATACAAACCACTGAAAAGGATCAAAGTATGGTCAAGTTCATCACAAAGATCACCTCTCACATAAATTGATGGGGAGTTGAGAGCTAGTTAATTATGCTTTACTGTTGTAATTTTGTGAAAATAACTCCCCTGTGGATTTGGTCACATTAGTTTCCACATTAGTTAGAAGGCAATCATTGACCAGCTGTTAGTGCAGAGTCAAGACCAGACATGAAGTTTTGGGGAGGTCATTACAATGAGTTGAAGTAGGCAACAGGAGCATCTGATAATGGATGCAGTGGAAGCACATGCTGGTAATATCTGCATCTGTAATCCTCAGTGGCTGTGCTTTTTTTGGTTCTCTCTAATGTAGCTAAGCTGTTTAGTGTTATCGAGAGACTAGAACAGAACACTAGAACAGTGAAGGATTTCCTGTAAAACAATTTCAACAATTGCTACTCAACACCACTTCAGTTCTGTGTTCAGTTTGTCCTTTAGTTGCACATAAGTTGTGAACTGCTTAGACAAACAAATGACATATAAATAGATAGTTTTCAGCTGTATGTGTTTGGTTCAAAACAACATTCCCCAAAGTTTTGGCACAAACTGAAATTTTAACACTTCTCATTTGAATAGATGGGGCACTTAAATTTTTATTAGAGCAGGCTTAAGAAAACTACTGGTGATTCTTGTTGATCTGTAAGTTTGCAATTTTACAAAAGATGACTGTTTCATATAAATACGTTTCTTTTGACGTTTCTATTAGGGCTGGACAGTTTGTGCAAAAATGATCACTCTTAAATGTTTCGCATTAGTCATTATCATTAATTATCACAATAAATGTCAAATATTTACTACTTTAAGCATCCTCAGTGATGGTTGCGGTCAGAAACGTTTAATTGATCATTTATTTTGTTGTTGTTATAACTTGACAAACATGTCAACCAGTTCAGCAATTCACAAATCAGTGGTACTTTATTTATAGTTATAAATATTTCTAAATTGCGTATTAAGTAAACTTAAAATCTTTTGCCCGCCTTTTCCTTGACAAAATATTTCAACAAATAAAAGTATTTCTTGCTGCAAGTTCTAACAGATGATTGCAAATCATAAAACTGGTGTCTAATGCCAGGCTTTAAGGTCATGATGCAGATGTCAATTCCTGTTTATTTAAATAAGCATTGTCATCAGTAACATCATGCTTATCATCAATGATACTGAAATAGGTCTCCATCCCTCTCCTTTTAGTCAGTGTCATTTAAAATTGAAGCACAAACATAATATAACTTTTAACATTTATCAGGCACACATTATCATTTTATCAAGGGAAAATTATAATTCAATAATTTGCATTTAAAAAAAAAAAATTTTTTTTAGGGATTTTATAAAAATAATCACAACTTTTTTCAAAATTAAGAAAATTAAATAACGATTC